CTTCAATTGCACCCCACAAGTTGATTTTGACTTTGGAGTCATGAAATTTTCCCCCTTTATTATTATTATTGCTATTATTATTATTATTATTATTATTATTATTATTATTATTATACTCATGAAATTTCCAAAATAAGAGTAAACAAATAGAGGAAATACCAAAATAAAAGCTTCATGGTTTTTATCCCTGACATATGAGTTTATTCTGTTGCAATGCGGCACTCTATATGAATGTTTCACAATACTTTTTGGTACAGTACTAAAAATATGGTACAACTTATAGTGCTCATTCTGAAATAAGTAGTACTTATTTTCGCACAAATATACGTCTTCATTTTGAAATAGCATGATACTTATTCTACAATAACGTAGTACTCATTCTGAAATAACGTAGTACTCATTTTCACATATTTATTCAATTGAATTATAATATTCATCTATAAATAACGTAGTATTCATTCTGAAACAAAATGGTCTTCATTCTCGAGTTTATTGCACCAACACCCTTGGTGGTTTGGTTAATGTGAATTGTTACCCCCCATGGTTTCAAAACATACGTCATTGCCCCTCATTGTTCTGAAATTGCTACGACAATGCCCATGTAGACAAAAATATCCTTCAAATATTAGGTGACCAACTCCGCTTCCCCTTATGGTTTTAGAAATGGGCGCCAATGCCCACTCTCTTTTTTCTTTATTGCTTTTGTTTTTTCTTTTCTTTTTTTCATAAAGAGAAGAAAAATATTTGTGTGTGAAATATTGATTTTTTTCAAACCTATGTTTTTTTTTAAAAATATTTTAAAAAAATTGTGCTTGAATTAAAAAATTTAACATATACTTCATTTATCAAGTTAAGTACTTTTTGTCTAAAAAAGTTTTTATTTTTTTGAATACGTCGGGATTAAAAGATTATATACGTACTGAGTAACGTTTTTTAATATATAGTTAATTATTTATTAATAACATTTTTGGAACAATACACAAAGGATTTCCTTCATGACTTAGTTTTCCATATTCTATAAAAGTATTTTTGTCATACACTTTTTCTTTATTTTCTTTTTTATTTTTTCCCTTCTATTTTAGTTTTGATTAAAATAAAATAAATGGTATAAAATTAATGAAAAGAAAATGAGAAATGAGCTCCTTTTTTGTTTTTTCCCTTCTATTTTAGTTTTGATTAAAATAAAAGAAATGATATAAAATTAATGAAAAGAAAATGAGAAATGAGCTTTAGTTAAAAAGAGAATATCTTTTTTTGTTTCATGAAAATGAACCAATAAAAATATCTTTTGGACAAAAAATGAAAATGATTAATTTGAAACAAATGAAATGTACTTAAATTCTTGTTATTTAATTGATTTTTATTGCAAAAAAAATTTATTATTTAAAAATCAAAAAAATAATTTTAAAAAAGAAATTAAAATATATTTATGACAAAATAGTAGAAAAAGAAAAACAATAAAGAAAAGAGGGGGCGCTTGTGCCAGTTTCCAAGATCATAGAGGGTAGTGGAACTACTCACATAATATTTAATTTGAAGGATATTTTAGTCTAGAAGATGGGCATTGGCGTAGGAATATCAGAGCCATGCGAAGCAACAACGTATTTTTGGAAATCATAGAGGGTAACTGTGCGGGTTTACCAAATCGCAAGAGGTCATGGTGCAATAATTAACTCAGCAAGAGCAATAGGATTAGTAATACCTTCTTCAGTTTGTATGTGCTAACAAGATATCTCCTCCTTCTATTCAATGGCTATGGTCATCATAAAAAGTTGGGCTTTATTGTCTTTTAACACTTTCTTAAAAATAAGATGCATTCAAATAATAAAAAATATTTTAATTTAAAATCTACAAAAGGTAAATTTGTAAAATTTGTGAATTATATGTTGGTGACTCTAAGTCTCTAACATTTTCCTTGTTTCTGCCATCCTTTTCCATAGCCTTGACTTTAGTTGTTTGCTCGTCTTAACACATGCTTCATCCCTTCAATTTTGAATTCATGATTTCTATTTTTGAACTTAAATAGTACTCTACCCAAAGTATTCAACCACTGTACTCCTATGACAATGTCAACATTTCCCAAAGATAATACCAGAAAATCAGACACAAAAAAAGTACGTGCCTTGTAGCAGCCACTGTACATCCTTACACATGGGGGTTATTTGAGAAGGATTCCTTCGTCAGATGGCATACGGGACGACATCTGAAATGTTTGACGAATACTTGAAGATGCCGGATCGGAGAATCATGTCTTGTGTTTATAAATTTTCTAAAGCTATTATTCGAATTTATCATAAATATATTTACGCAAGCCTACAACGAGCGACATTCAGCAGTTACACGCAAGGCATGCCGCTAAGCACGGGTTTGTCGGCATGCTTGGGAGCATTGATTCCACGCATTGGGAATGGAAAAATTGTCCCACTGCGTGACATAGTCAGTTCTCCCGGGGAGGATCATCCCAAACCTACAATCATGCTCGAAGTTGTTCCTTCAAATGAATTGTGGTTTTGGCATGCTTTTTTTGGTGTCACTGGATCGAACAACGACATCAACGTTCTCGATCAATCGCCTGATTTTGACGATTGAAATAATGAGACCGCACCCGACTCATCTTTTGAGCTTAGAGGGACGCTTTACAAGCGTGGATATTATTTGGTCGATGGAATATATCCAGATTATTCCACTATTGTCAAGTCCCTCTCTGAACCAGTGGGTCTTAAACGCCAGACCTACAAAAAACCTCACGAGGCAGCGAGAAAAGATATTGAACGAGCCTTCGGGGTATTGAAGGCTAAGTGACACATTCTAGATCATCCTTCCAAATGTTTTTCTCAAACAAAAATGAGGGATATTCTTCATAATATGATCGTAGAGGACAACGAGTTTGTGATTTGTCAATACAACCCGGACGAGGAGGTGCCTATGTACGAAGAAATCAACGAAGAAACCGCCAAGAAATTCGAAGCCGAGAGATTCACAATACACTAACGGTAGATTTGATCGAACATATCTTCAGCCGTTCGAATAATTAGTAATTTGTTTATAGTGTTGTTTTTTATGGATGTAATATTTTTTTAATGAATGTATTTTTTTATGGATGTAATATTTTTTAATGAATGTAATTTCTTTAATGCACTATTCTCCTTTCGTTTATTTTAAATAATTAAATAATTAAATTTTATTAATTTAAATTTAGAAGATGTATATTTAAAATATTAAAAATGAAGGTTTGAAGCCTTATTTTAAAGCTCCGGAGCTTTACATCCACTCCCACTGAAACTGTAAGGTAAGTTAAAATTGACGTGACAGAGAGAAGGTTTGAAGCCGCTGTTTGAAGCTCCAGGATTTCACGGGTATTTCTACGGGTATTTCCAAGTGCCCCTAAATAAAAACATTTTTCAAAATTTATTTCTAGTAATCAACATTGTTTGACACGAATTGATAGGGGCCGTTTCCGATTATCACCCGAAAACTGCCAAAAGGCATGGTTTATTGCATGCCAAGTGTACAAAAGAAAATGTGTTAAATTTTAAAAGAGTGACGATGATCGACTTTGACCATGTTTGGTTGCTGATTGCAGATGAATTTTCTTTTGCTTCTATTATTTCCACCACCGGCCAACTAATAGTGAAGATGATAATACTTCTCCCTGATAATATTTGTTCAATTTAATTGTTTAGAATGCAATTAAATAATTTTTAATAATTAATTATATTAAATTTGCATTTAAAATTAATATAATAAAATATTTTTTTTTTAAGTTTTTACAAGATAAATATAACAAATTCATTTATTGTACAAATATTAAATGCAATTCATATAAAATTAACGATCAAAATTTGTTTAATTTAACTAAATAAAATCAAATTAGACGGATAGAGATTAATACTCCCTCCGTCCCATGAAACATTAGAGTTTTGCTTTTTAGGAGGGATTTAAGGTGAGTGTATTTTGGTATTGAATTTCCAAAAATGTTCTTTGATGTGATGGGTAAAAGTATGATTTGATGGATAGATTATTAGTAAAAAGGTATGATGTGATAGTTAGGATATGAAAAAGTAAGGGGTAAAAGTGACTTTTTAATAGAAATGAGAAGTGTTTTGTGGGACGGATAAAAAAAGAAAGGAGAAAGGTTTTATGGGACGGAGGGAGTAATAGCTAATAAATACCCAATTTTGAATATCACCCCTAAAATTCCTTTGGTGCTGTCAATTAGATAATTAGATTTAATTCGACGTTGTAGCTAGTACTCCCTCCGTCCCGAAATATTTGCAACGTTTGCTTTTTCGGTGTTGCGGGAACTTTTGTTTATTTCTACGTTTTCATTGGCTATTTGATAAAATAAAATATTCTTGACACCTCTTATTTCGAAGAACTTTTCATGTAGTTTTTTGATATGTAAATTTTATTTTTTATTTCTATACCAATATGTAAATAAAATGAATTGAAAAAACTTGATATTTTGCCTCGGGAATATAAGTGTGGCAAATATTTAGGGACGGAGGGAGTATTACAATTGAGATAAGTTTCCCCATCCAATCATAAATTTGATCATGATATCAAAGAAAGATTTGACTCATCTTATTTTTGTCCCCCCGTGCGTCTAAAAGTTCATTTCTTACATCTCATTGTGATCATGAGAGTCAATCAATTCTATTTAAAATAAGATAAATTCTTACATACACGATGTATATTTCTTCATATATGCTAAATAAGTATTTTTCAAGTATTAAAATAAGTATTTTTAAAATTAAAAAAAATTGTGAGAAGGTTTGTGAAAATCTTAGGTCTACATAGAAGTACTCTTTGTCCATATTTCTTTTTTGAATGGAGGGACCAAATGAATACTTTTCAAAAAGAAAAATGGTCACTTTCATATTTAATTTGCTTTATAGGTGACCAAACAAACAATCCACCACCACAAATATTTCCATCTCGTGTTTCATTGCTTTACTCTCACTTCTATAAATTCATACTCGTAATAGCTAGTAGTGTATTTTATAAACCACATAACAGCAGTACTGTGTACGTTCAAATTAAGTTTCTTATTGTTACTAGTTTTTCATTTGCCAGCTTCTTCTTCTTCTTTACAATGGCTCCTCCTGCTGCGGTTGAATCCGGTTCGGCTCCCGAAAATTTGGAATTCAATGACAAAATCTACGCCAGAGTCCGGGTGGCGAACCGGTCCGACGTGACCCATATCTACAAGCTGTTTTACCAAATCCATCAATACCATAGCATGACACACCTCTACAAAGTGAGTGAGGACTCATTGTCAAACATGCTCTTCAACCCATCAAACCCTAATAACCCTCCCTTCCACTCCCCAACCATCCTCCTCCTCGAGGTCTCCGCGACCGAGTTCCCCGCGCCCGTGCCCGTGCCCGACGGGTCGGGCGGCTTCGAGCCCATTGTCAGGGCGTTGGACCTGAAAGCCCCAGTGAGGGACACCACTGAAGGGGCAGAGTTCAGGTCCAACGCCCCAGACCACGACGAGGCCTACGTGGCTGGGTACGCTTTCTTCTTCCCCAACTACTCGTGCTTCTACGACCGCCCCGGGATCTTCTTCGAGAGCCTCTACTTCCGGGAGAGCTACCGGAAGCTGGGGTTTGGGAGGTTGTTGTTCTCCGCCGTGGCCGCCGGTGCCGCCGCCAAGGGGTTCTCGTCCGTGGAGGGGATCGTGGCGGTTTGGAACAAGAAGTCGTACGACTTCTACGTCGGGATGGGGGTGGAGATCATGGACGAGTTCCGGTACGGGAAGCTCACCGGAGAAGCTCTTCAGGCGTATGCTAATAAGAATTAAGAAGGGGAGTGCTTAATATTATGTTTTCTAATATACTACGTATATCCATATGGTTTGATTTTTATTTTAATTAATTCAGTTTCCATTTGCATATGTGAGACGAATTGAAATGTTCCTGAAACATAAGATTGCGTGTATTTTATTTGAGTCTCTGATAGAGACAACTTTGTTCTGTTATTTATATGACCTCTAGACGTGCTTTATTGCCTTCGATTACATGATTAAAATAAAAAAAATTGTAGTCCTAAAATTCTCTCTTCGTTTTATTTGTATGTCTCAATTTGTCATTTGTGTATGGTTAATATCGTTTTTTCCTTTCCAACTAAATTAAGAACCAACAATTTCATCATCTTCTTTTTTAAATAAGGTGTGCCAAGTCAAAATTCCAAAAAGGACAATGCTAGGGGTACACGGTACTCCATTTATACATTAGACTAACACAGACATACACAGACAGAACATGTTTGTGCAGCATAGACATTTTGCTTCTGTGTGTGTCTGTGTTAGCTTGGTGTACAAATGGGGTACCCCATGCATGTTGTGTATGCCAAGGTTAATTCTTCCAAAAATATTTAGAATTGAAGTTAGAGAAATCATCTTAAATAGGACTAAAACATAGAGAAAAGTACCAAAATAAGACTTTCATGTTTTTTTCCCAAAATAAGACTATGCATTGTGGTAATGTGACTTTGCATTGTGGTAATGTGGCAGTGTACATGTGCAAATTACTATACTTTCTTGGTAATGTATATGACCATGATTGGTAATGTAAGTCCTATTTCGGGAATAAAAACATGAAAGTCCTATTTTGGTATATTTTCAATGTTTTAGTCCTACTTTGGTCATTCTCACTTGAAGTTACGAATGAAGATGGAAGATTATTTTAGAGTAAATTACATATATAGGACAAAAACATAGTAGTTTTCCCCATTTAGGACCAATCCTATTTATGTCCCATCACGTGGACATTAAATTGCCACTGTCTCTCCAGAATGAATATATAGACATTAAAGAAATATACTTTGGAGAACATTAAGGAAAGAGAGTTTGGAGGATATTATTAGAAGCAATAAACAACATTGGACATTAATATATGGACATAGAGCATTAAGAGAATAGAGTTTTAGTGTTAACTAGAAAATTTTTTCTTCTTTTTTCTTCATTACCGAACATTAAATATCGTAGACATTATATTTTTCAAGGACATTATTTTATCTATTATTTTTTCATTGTTGAAATAATCATTGATGTTGCCTGAATATAGAAAATAAGATCAAAATTCTCGTATCCTAACATGAGTATGGAATAAAATTTAACACGTACTCCCTTCATCACAATTTTTTCATATTTCATATTGTATGATCAAAGTCTAGTTATTTTCTTTGCATGATTTTATTATCCGTTTAATAAAATAATATATTATTGTCACATTATATTGTACTTTGTAACTTTTTTATGAAGTTTAAAAAATTTTAAATTTTAACCTGTATTTCATTTAAATTAAACTCATAATAAATTATGGAAAAGAAAAAACAAAATGGTTACACAATGGAACAATAAACCAAACGTGTGACTATTTGTAAACTTTTAATACGAGTAGTGCGTGTTAAATGATTAGTTATCTTCGATTCAAAACAATGGAGTAGTTACCATAAAAGTAGGAGGATTTAATGCAAAATTATCTCATAAGTAAATAGAATATAAAAAAGAATTAGACGGATGATTTAAAACAAAGGGTAGATTTGGGAGTCTTAATTAAAAAGAGTCTTATATATGGAAGAAAACATAATCAGTCTTAGGCCCCGTTCCGTTCAACTTATTTTTTCTTATTTTTTCTTATTCTTATTAAAATTACATCAGATCAGATCCAATCAGATCAGGTCAGATCAGATGAGATCCAATCAGCTCAGATCAGATCAAGACTTATTAAAATAAGATCCCATCAAGAATTATTATTATTATTATTATTATTATTATTATTATTATTATTATTGTTCTTAAAAATGAAAAAGAATAAACTTTAGAAATATGTTAAATAGAAAACTGAGAAAATAATCCTTAATTATTAGACGTCGGAAAAATTTGTTTTAAAATACATTGAGAATGTCAATTTAATTCTACTTTTAAAATATATTTTTATTGCTACTTGTAATTTGATTTTCTAAAGTTTTGATCTTTTATAAGGATGAGATATTTTAATAAAAATACTATCTCTTCTATATATTGATTATCTAAATTTAATTACTTTTTAATGTATATCTAAATAAAATATTTATTCTAATGTATATATTAAGTAATTAATAAAATATTAAACTAATATTGTAATTTCACAAAAAAATAATCATAAAATAAAAATATTATTACATTACAATATGAATGATTATTCTAATATATGAATTAACTATTTTTATTTTATTAAAAAATAATCATTAAATAAAAAATATTGATTATATTATAATATGAATTGTCATTACAATTTTCAAACGTAATTATAAAGTCAAATCAAATTATTGATTTGAAATTTTAAATTAAATCATAATTAATCAGATCAGATCAGACCAGATCAGATCAGATCCAATTAGATCAGATCAGATTAGACCAGATCAGATCAGATCCAATCAGATCAGATCAGATCAGATTAGAACTTATTAAAATTACATCAGATCAGAAAAAATAAGTTGAACGGAATGGAGCCTTAGATTGAGAAACACTATATGTTTTAGTCCTACATGATGCAATTTTTTCATTATTTAAAGGCTAATAAAAGGATTTCACCAAAATAGCTGTCACTCATAAAAACATGTAAAATAAGTTACTGTCAACGTAAAGAAATTAGCTTAGGCTCCGTTCCGTTCAACTTATTTTTTCTGATCTGATCTGATTCTAATAAGTTCTGATCTGATCTCATCTGATCTGATCTGATCTGATCAGATTGGATCTGATCTGACTGGATCTGAAATGATCTGATCTGATTGGATCTGATCTGATTCGATCTGATCTAATCTGATTGGATATGATAGGATCTGATCTGGTTTTAATAAGTCCTAATCTGATCTGATTAGATCTGATCTGATTGGATCTGATCTGATCTGATCTGATTAGATCTGATTTCGTTAGATCTAATCTGATCTAATTCGATCTGATCTGATTTTAATAAGAATAAGAAAAAATAAGTTGAACGGAACGGGGCCTTAGTGGTGACGTGGTGGATATAAACCCATGGTTGACCAAGTCAATGAATGAGCAGTTGGACCAAGATCTCTTGCGTATACAACAACCATATCTGTTGGAACACACTTTGTACGTCAAACTAAATTTGTGTTCATTTCTGACAGGTTTTGATAAATGCCAAACCGCCGTGGATATGAAGAGTTTCGTTGAATAACTCAAGGCGTGAAGAATGGCATGGAACAAGACCTAAAAGATTCAAGGACAAGATCAAGAATTGAAGACTTAGTCGAGTCGGTCTTTTGTGATCAAAACCGACAATCAATTCAAGTCTCGGTTCTCAAAGAGTCAAAATAATTTTACAAAATCATAAAATATTTTTGTGCATCAAAATAAACATTTTTGATAAATTTTTATTGTTAAAATCCATGGTCCTTGCTCAGAACCAAAATCACCTAAGTGAGCGTACGGTGTTCGGCATCGGCGTATGGCATTTGGTGTTCGGCGTTCGGTTTTTGGCGCCCGAACCAACTCGGTGGTTTTCAATGTTTTAAATCTCGATTTTATCTCTGAGCATATTTAAAAGGTTCCCAATTAATTATTTTATAAAAACCACTTTTGTATCTTGGTCAATCGGTCTAACACGTGAAAAACGGTCAACCGTACACACGTGATTTACGACCTTGGAGACTTGGTTTTTACCAAACAAGTCTTGGTTTCACTAATTTATACCATATACAATATTTTTCAAACTTGGTTTTTACTTTTGGGAACACTTCCTTTTTGGACCTCGGTTTTTCAAAACGGGTTTCAGCTGGCTAGACTTTAGTTGGGTGATAATCGATTATCACCTTAGTGACAATCGACTATCAGCTCCTGCAGCTTTGAACTTCCAAAGTTCTGAAGCACGCAATAATCGATTATCACTTACGCTATAATCGATTATCAGCTTTTGCAGCCAAAACCCAGAATTTTCTGAGAGGACCAGTAATCGATTATCAGTTGTTGACAATCGATTATCTGGATTACCGTTGTCCTCCAACGGATAGAATTTTAAATTTTTGGACAGAGAATCTTTTGATAATCGATTATCAGACTTTGACAATCGACTATCACCCTGTGTCTCTGAAAAATTTGTCTTCATCATGTTGGAAATTCTAGCAACGGGTTTATCCCATTTTGGGCTATAAAATGGCACCCAAATCCTCTCATTTTACACACAATTCTTCAACATTTCAATACCCTTTCATTGCATAAGCATTCCTAATTTTCTTAGCTATTTTAGAGCCAATTCTTGAAGAAATTGTCATGTTCTTGAGCGTTTACTAGTTCACTCATATCTACTCTTTGTGAGAGTTTAATTCCTGAGTGTTTAAGTGTTTTTATACACTTTAAGGGAGGTTGTTCCCTTGTTGTAAACTCGAAGGAAGTTCTTTGTTCCTTCGTGAGAAGTCTTGGAGTGCGGTATCTCCGAGCAAAGGCGTTGAGGCTCGTGTGACTTGGGTTCTCAAGTTGTATCGGTTTGTTAAGCACCCTTAAGCTTAACGGAGTTAGTGTAGCTCGAGAGAGTCTCTCGGGAGGCTGGATTAGCCACACGTTGTGGTGAACCAGGATAAAATTCTGTGTGCTCCTTCCTTACGCTCTTTACCTTATCGCTCTCGTTTTTAATTTCCTTCGATTTTGTTTTAAACGCTATTCACCCCCCTCTAGCGTTGGGCCTTTATTCTAACAATTGGTATCAGACCCTTACTCTCTGAAAGACTTAACCGTTTGAGAGAAACGATCAATGGCTTCTACTCAAAACTTATACGCAGGTTTAGGAGAAGGGCAATCCACCACGAGGCCTCCATTATTTGATGGAACAAATTACACATATTGGAAGGAGCGGATGAGAATTTTCATACAATCCAACAACTTTCTCCTATGGAGAATTATCAAGAATGGGGAAGAAGTACCCATGATGAAAGTTGGGGAAACCACCGTTCCCAAAACCGAAGACGAATACGATGCGCAGGATATCAAGAAAATAGAGAACAACGCCAAGGCTATCAACATTCTTTACTGTGCAGTAAATCTAGACAACTACCGGAAAATTTCATGTTGTTCGACCGCTAAGGATATGTGGGACAAGCTCGAAATCACATATGAAGGTACGAATCAAGTCCGAGAAGCTAAGATAGATTTTCTAACCCATGAATATGAATTGTTTCGTATGAAGGAGAATGAGAAAATCGATGAGATGTTTGAACGATTCTCCAAAATCATTAATGATCTCCATGCTCTCAAGAAGACGTACACGGACAAGGAGCTTGTGAGAAAAATCCTGCGAAGTCTCACACCGGAGTGGCGATCCAAAGCCGATGCCATTCAAGAATCCATCGGCATCACCAACGTCACCATTGACGGACTTAGAGGTAATCTCAAAACCTATAAGTCTACCATTCTTTATCCCTCTCTAGGTGAACAAAAGAAGAATGGGATTTCCCTCAAGGCATCTACAAGCCAAGAACGTGCTATGGAGGACTCGATTGACGAAGACGAGTTCGGGATCGTGCTCAAGAAATTTCATAAGTTCATGAGCCAAGAGTATGAACGGAAAGGAAAGAAGCAAGGAGGTCCACCCAAATACTATGGGTGTGGAGAAGTTGGGCATATAAAGCCAAAATGTCCAAACGCCAAGAACAAGAAGAAAATGTTCAAGAAACACCGAGCCTACATCTCATGGGGAGGTGATTCCGGCGACGAGTCATCGGAAGGCGAAGAAAATGAAAGCGCCAACCTTTGCCTCATGGCACACGAGGAACCACCGGAAGAGGTATGTACCACTTCTAAAGATTCCTATACTTTTGATGATGTACAAGAAGCCTTTAATGAACTTTATGATGAATATGTCAACGCTTCTAAAATNAGTTCTTGTATATCACTTAAGGAACAAGTTGCAAAACTTGAAGGAACTTTGAAGAAGTTTGGTGTTTCTCATAAAAACCTTTATGATGTTCTTGACAATTTGCAACTTACTAAACATGGCTTAGGTTTTGAAAATGAAACTAATAATAAGGAAAAAGTTGAGCAACCATCTAGGAAACCTAAAGCTCAACTCAGGAATAATGAAAATCAAGAAAATAGACAACCTAGAACAATTAGGAACACTAGACCACCTAGAAAGAATACTAGGATGAACAATGGTCAAGTTAGAAAACCTAGCAACTATTATCAACCTAGGAGAATGCATAATCCAAATGTTATTTGTCATTATTGCAATAGGATAGGTCATATAGCACCCGTGTGTTTTAGTAGGCATAGGCATTGCACGTAAATATCTATGGAGGATCTCATTGAAGGGGATTGGTAGTATTTGACATAGCCTTATACTATCTCCTTTGCTTGTACTCTCTCACTAAAATATTAATACCAATTATGCTACAAGTGTTTTCACCCACTCATATTCTTTTTTTGGTAGTTCATTTCTAGACCTAGCTTGGCCGTGTTTGGAAAATAGCTTTTCGAATAGCTTTTGACATCTTTGACTGACTTTAGCTTGTTTGCCATATCGAACCGCCAAAACCATTGTTTGGCTAATGGCTTTTTCACTTGGCTTTTTGATCCGAAATGCCAGCCCGAAAAGCCAAGAGGAGTAGCTTTTGAACTTGGCTTTTAGAAAAATTGTTTTTTAATCATTTTTCTTGAAAGATGTTTTTATAATATATGTAAAAAAAGGTTTAAAAAATTAAAAAATTTAAAAAAATTAATTTTTCAGAAAAAAGATATGAGAAAATCAAAAGCAAAAATCATTTAAAAGTTATGTGTTTATAATTTCTTATGAATTATATGAAAATGAAATTTTATACTCCACATATTAAAGATTTAATTTTTACATGTACAAAAATAAAAAACAAATATCATATTGCTTTTATTAAAGGAAACGAAAGGAAGGTACAATCTCTTAAACAAGAGTAGCTCTAACATTAGAAGAACAAGAACAAAGATAAGGATATTCTATTAAACTATCAAGCTTGCCCCTCTCTTCCTTTGCTAAACATTCTACTGCTGATTTCCTTCTCGTAGCGCATGTGATATCCAAACCCCTCAGAGATTCGGTGAGATAAGATGTCAATATATAGGAAATGGAGAGGCAGCGAGGTGATTGTATTTTGAGACCCTCTTAATAACTTCCAAAGCATCGATTTCAAGGCGTTGTTTGGATGTTGGCTGTCTACTACTTACTGTTTGTATCAGCTGTTCAAAATAGCTACTCCCTCCGTCCGGAAATGTTCTTCCCATTTGACTTTTTACGGTTTCCAAGATTGTACTTTGACCACTAATATCTTTATTTATGTATGGATATATTTTATAAAAATTTGATATTTGAAAACTATATTTCAAAATGAATATATTCATATTAAAGTTATATCTTAATGTAATGTATTTTTTCCACATATCATAGTCAAAGTTTACAAACATTGACCAAGAAAAGTCAAATGGGAAGAATATTTCCGGACGGAGGGAGTATTTAATTTAGCTAGTTTGACTGGCATGATGAGTTGGCTGATCGTTAAAAATGTTTGGTAAAATTAACTATATATATATATATATATATAGAAAGAGAGAGAGAGGATAAAAAGTATTCAATTCTCATTTTGTAACTTTCTTCATAATCTACTTCTAATTTAGTCATTTTACTTTCCCCAAGCTTTATAATACTTAAAGAAAATTACCTAAAATAATCTCACTCTATCACAATCTTTAAAAAATAATTTCACCTTTCATTATTACGCATAATAATCTCAATTTTTCACCTATATGCCAGCCTTGGATGACCGCTACGAAGCTAACAGTCACTTAAAGAATTGCTATTGAAAAGGCCTATTTTTTGTAAATAAACGAAAGGTGGGATTATTTTAGTTAATATCTATTATTTTCAACTTATTTAAATTTTTTAAAATTTTAAATTTTAAATTTTTTAAAATTTAAAATTTAAAATTTTTTTTAAATATGGAAATATACTATAGTTAGAGATTTTTCTCACTCTTAAAAATATAATGGATCAAAAATTATGTATATAAAAATGCAACAGTGAAATATCGGAAAAGTATTCAGAGTACAGCTCTTAAAAAGTTGCAATACAACTATACAAAAAATTAGTGTTATTTTGTAGTGACACTTTGAAATAATAATAATAATAATAATAATAATAATAATAATAATAATAGTGAATTATAGATAAATAATTTGGAGTGTTGATGAAAGATAAAAATGTAGTAATTTATAAAATATTATATCTATTCAAATGAAAAATTGTTGTGCCATTATCACAGCTTTTACTATTTTGTTTTGAAAATTAAATTAAAAATTATAGAGCATTATTGAATTAAAAATTATAGAGCATTATCGAAAAAAGTCACAAGTTTTGTAGCGCTGTTTTTTTTTAAAAAAAATAATAGTGGACTATTAAAAGGTAATTGAGAGTGCTCATCAAGAAAAAATTGCAGTACAAAAAAATTGTAGTGAGTTATCTAATTTAGTTCCAAATCGGGGAAAAAATTGTGGTACCATTTTCACAATTGTTGTAATATCATTTCAGAAAAAACAATAAGCAATTATACCAAATTATTGACTATCAGAAAAATATGAGTTTCAATTTGAACAAAAACATTAAAATTTTGTATTACTTAGTGTATCAGATTATCAATAAGAGGAATTTACTTAAATAGCATTTTTTTCATATTACATTTTTTTTGTTAAAAATCTTTTCTAGAGTACATGGCACTACAGAAGAAGGCCGGTTCCAAAGCCACTGGAATCCAGTGGCTACGGAAGCCACTGCCCCCTTACGGAGCTCCGTTCATGAAATTGATGATTACTACCCCCCTAACCCCCTTGGTAAACCCCCCACCAAGTCTCGATCCAAACTACTCTCCCCCCACCTACGTCAATTGCACCTCGCAAGTGTAATTGATTTTAAAGTCAAATTTTTTGACTTTATACTTACGAGGTGCAATTGACGTAGGTGGGGGGAGTAGTTTGGGTCGAGACTTGGGGGGGGGGGGTTTACCGGGGGGTTAGGGGGGTAGGAATCATCAATTTCATGAACGGAGCTCCGTTGGGGGGCAGTGGCTTCCGTAACCACTGGATTCCAGTGGCTTTGGAACCGGCCTCAGAAGAAGTTGTGAAAATGACACAACAATTTTTCACCAAAACTAAGTTTTTATAATTAACTACAAATTTTTAATCACAATTTTCTCCTGGCACTCCGAACTATTTTTTGATAATCCACTACTTTTTTGCCAAAAATGGCACTCAACGCTTGTGAACCATTATATTTTTAAAAGATTGAAGCAAATATATAATAATAAGAGTGTACCATTATATTATTAACAATGAATAGTTTCAAAAATTAAAATTTAAAAATTTTGAAAAAAATGAAAATTTACCTCAAGTAGTCTCACCTTTCATTTATTTGCACAAAATAAGAATTCCTAAAGAAATACGTTAGGCTTTTGTTAGCTTCTTAACGGGGACTCAAAACTTGTAGGAAATGCTGGATTATTACGATTGATAGTGAAAAGTGTGATTTTTTTAAAATAATTATGAAATGGTAGGATTATTTCAAATTATTTTTTCCAATTATCTATTTTATTGAAATATTGGAATAATAATATTGTTCCTTAAATTATGACATACATGATAGAGTATATATAGAGAAGAGACTCCTAGCACAACTAGGATTAGAGGATGGAAACCAACTAACATACAACATCTAACATAAATAGGAATAGGAAACTGACTAAAATACAGATACTACTATAACTAAGACTACCATAATTGTTATAGTTATTATTGTCTAACATCCCCCTCAAGCTGAACTCTGGCTGAAGTAAAAGGAAGCTTGGACACTAGCTAGAAACTGGAAACTTTGGGAAGAGAGAAATCTGACGTGCACCGGTGGCTGCTGATGTCGTTGGAGAAGAGAGAAGTCTGATGTGCGCTTGGTAGTTGCTGACATCTTTGAAAAAGAGAGATAGGCTTGACGTGCGCTTGTAGCTACTGACGTCGAAGAAGAACAGAGAAGGCTGTTGGAGGTGTTTGATTGAAGATCCTTGAAATTCTTTGTCTTTTTCTTGGATCCGGGCAATGCCCTATTTCCTTCTTGAAGGGGTGAGTTGTAGAGGTCTTATTTCCTCTTTCACTACTTCCCCTCTTGGCTTTGCTTTTGTGCTGATTTACTTTGGATTTTTATTGGTTAACAGAAGAGAAAGAGAAGGGAGGTTGATGATTAGAATGAGTGATTTTAGAGAGAAAAAGTAGGTTAAGAATTGGTGATGGAAAAAAAAATTGGGTCTGAGATTTTGATATGGTGAATTGGAGAGAAACAACAATCATTTTTTTCCTTTGTTTTGAGAAGATAGGATGATCTGAGAGAGTTTGTGAAGAGTTGAGTTTTTTTTAAGAACCATGGAGATGACAAGAGAGAAGTTCCTCCTTTGATAGTTTTTTTTGTGTGATTTCAAAAGGGGTTTTTTTCTTTTTTTGTTCATTTGAATGGAGAAGTTGATTTGAGGATAAAGAAGAAAAAGAAAATAGAGGTGAATAGAGTGGAGTCGCCGTCGCCGGAATTACCGGCGGCGGAGGTGGGAGCAAAGAACTTTTTTTTTAGGTCACCAAGAGCGGTGGCTCTGATACCATGTTGAAATATTGGAATAATAATATTGTGCTCCTTAAATTATGAAATACATGATAGAGTATATATATAGAGAAGAGACTCCTAGCACAACTAGAATAGAGAATGGAAACCAACTAACATACAACATCTAACATAAATAGGAATAGGAAACTGACTAAAATACAGATACTACTATAACTAAGACTACCATAATTGTTATAGTTATTATTGTCTAACATATTTAATTAGAGAAATTTACCTAAATAGAACTAAAACATAATGACTTTCCTAATATAGGACAATATGTTTTTATTTCCCAATGTAAGACCTTTGGTCATTATCAAGTAGTCATTATTCAACTAAATGTCCATCATTGCTGGACATTATTCCTTCCACTAGGTCATTATTAAGTCTTATTTAGGAAATATAAAAGTTTAATTCATACATTAGGAAAGTCATTATGTTTTAGTCCTATTTAGTGCAAATTTCACATTTAATTAATAATATGTATTTATCAACAATCAAAATGTTATTTCCTCCGTCTATAAATTTATTTTTCATTAGACTTTTCACGATCTCCAATGCAACACTTTAATCACTAATATATCTATTTATATATAAATATATTATTATATATATTAAAAATATAATATTTTAAAACTATAAATCAAAAAGAAGATATTAATATTATATAAAATGATAATTAAATGTATATATTTTCTATAATTTGTAGTTAAAGTTCAAAAAATTTGACAAAAAAATTTAATCGGGAGAAAAGATTATGGACAGAGGAATATAATTTGACTAAAAAATTAGTTTTCAGTGGGAATGCACATTTGGCATACTCAAGGACGGTCCGCCGCTTACCAAAAATGTTTCAGTCCATCCTATTACGACCAATCGTGTAAAATTCTTGTAGGTGACGACATTCAACGGCGACAGTTATCAACTATATGTAGACTACTAGGAGTTGTAGGTAAGATGCAATCATCCCATCTCAATTTATTTTGTTTAGAACATCTTTTTTATTTAATCTCTTACGAAATGGCAATCAATCTCAATATTCTTGTTATGTCCATGAAAAATAGGGTTAATAGCATATGAAGAACTGCTTGATTATCACAAATAATATCTTGGGTCATCGTGTATGACGCACCAAGAATTTGTACATGAGAAGACACTTCAACCACTTTAACTCAAAAACTTTGGTTGTCATAGCACGATATTTCAGCCTCTGCAGAGGAGCGCGAGAGAGCATTCTGCTTCTTCGTGTGCTGGGAGATTGGAGATACCCAAGGCATATAAAATAACCTATGCCTAAACGTCGTTTCAAAAGGAAACTTGCCCAATCAGTGTCATAGTAGGCATGAAGGGTTCAATAACGTTATATTCGAAGAAATAATCCCTTGCCGTGTTGTGCCTTAATGTAGCGCAAGACCTAAACTACATCGTCCTAGTGTTCCTGGAAAGGTACTCCCATATACTACCTCCGTCCCACTCTTTTTGTCCAGTTTTGACTTTTGGAACTGTTCATCTAAGCACTTTGACTCATCAAATTCTCTCAATGTGTAAGTCTAAAAATAGTCATGTGTGATCTTGTTTGATTTGTCTTAACATATAGATTATTAATATATAATTTTTATAATTTTTTAATATACAAATTACAAGATAAAATGGATTAAAGAAGTGCATTGGATGGTGTGCAAAAATGAAAGTGGACAAAAAGAGTGGGACGGAGGGAGTATATATTGAGACATA